ATGGAAAAAGTAATACAAATTCACATTATTTATTTATTTTTATATTTTTTTTTATTAATTTTACATTTAAAAAATTTATTTAATTAATTTTAAATTGTTTTTTTTTCTTTTTAATTACGCCTTTGTTTGATAGTTAATTTCACTATTCATAAATACATAATTTATAAATATTTATATTATTTCTTATTTATGCAATTATTCTACATCTAAATTATGTTGAATCATCATTGCGTAATTAAAACTATTATTTTAAAATAATTTGCTAGAATATGCGCGAACAATAAACAAAGATTTCATTAAAACAAATTAAAATACACTTTGTTACATGAAAAAAATAATATAATTACGCGCGTCAAAGTACAAAATGTATGAATTTTCCGTAAAGTACATTAAAAAAAATAATAAAAGCATTAACTACAAAGCGATAAAGAAAGAAAGAAAAATTAATAAATTAATAAAAAAAAAAAAAAAATTGCACACACACACACGCGTTATCAATCAGTTAATAATATAAATTATAATATAATTTTTCCTTATTTATAAAATATTTATAATTAAAATCGACAGTTTACTGACAATAAACTACCATATAAAATCTAATATTATTATTCTAACTAGTAGTAATAATAGATTTTACATATTTTATAAGTATGTAAGTATTTCCTCTTCAAAGACAAAAAAAAAACACAGAACAGTTACAACTTTAGCATTTAGTCAGCTTTACCAACGAGTATACTCGTAGTTTACTCGTAGTTTACTCGTGGTTTACTCGTATATGTAAAAATTTGCTCTTGGATCTGTGCACATTTTAATATAGCTTTCTGCATACATATGTATATGTACGTAAATATGCATAATAAATGGTTATGTCGTCATAAAATTCACTTCACTTGTATGTATGTATGCACACAAATGAATATTTTATTAGTTAAAGATTGGCTGGTTTTTGCAAAACATGTGCTCGTACAACGAGTTAGTGGCATGCTGCTTCTATCAAACATTTGCTGAGTAAATAAAGCAATCGATAGTTGTTATAGAAAATCGATGACATGTTTAGTGTGTATTCACATAACTTAAATGACATATTTTGAGTGCCTTTTGTTGACGTTTTAAGACAATAACGAATGGCATGACTGTCAAAAATGGTAAATAAGTCGTTTAATATTTGTAAAGAGCTTGTTAATTTTGATTTATACACAATCGAATATTCTGATAATCAAATGCAATTAAATGCTTAACTTTGGTATGTAGATTTAGTACGAAAAATAATAATAATAAGCACATGTATACTTATTTATGTATGTATGTATAAAAATCAGCAGTGCAGTGTACGATTAGGTATATGTATATTTTATATGCGCAATCGCAACTCATAAAAAGTCAATTCAATTTCAATGTCAATGAGGTTTGTTGATCTGTTCATATTTAAAGTTTTTTTTTGTGTTTATTTTTATATATATATTTTTTATTATTTTATTATATATTTTTTTAATTTACTTTTTTGTTTTTATTTTCATTACATATATTTTGTATTAATTTATTTTATATTTTTTTAATTGTCCTTTTTTTATTTTTATTTTTATTTATATTATATATATTTTTTATTATTTTATTAAATTATCTTTTAATTTAATTTTGCATTTTTCTTTTGTTTTTATTAGGCATACGCTTATTATTGATTTGACACACTTTATTGTACGAATTGAACTATTTGTGTGGGTTTTGTGGTTAAACTTGATGTCAATTAATTTCCATATGTGTTTGGGAGAGTAAGAAAATATATACATATCTACATTGAACTGAACGATAGAAGACAGCAGCATGAAAATATGTTTAATATAAAATTTTTTATAGTTTGCTGGCCGCAATAATAAGCTCAATACTTAATTATTGCAGTAAAACGTATAATTATGCTTTCTCTACGCCTTTTTTTATTTTCTGGTAATGTATGCCATTCATATATGGCATTTCTTACATTTTTGAAAATAATAATAAAAGTTAATTGCTTAACATTTCTAACACACATCCTAAGTAATCGATAATTATTTGTACTTCCGCGATATTTCAAAAAAAAAAAAATTAAATAAAGAAATAAAAAATAAAAAAATAAAAAAATTAAAAAAAAAATTAAAAAAAAATAATAATAAAATTTGTATATATTAATAAGCCAATAAATGCATTTAAAATGATTGGAAAAAGAAATTAGAAAATTAATTTGCATGCTATTATCGTCTTTTCCATGTAAAAATACAGCAGTTTTGTTTTTAATATTTTTCTCCGATCATTATGACATTTGCTTCAAAACACACTTCCGCCTGCGCTTTCGTATACACACAGTTGTATGTTAAGAAGTAATTGAAATGCAATCAATGACTATGTAATTTTATGCGCAGACAACATAATTTCCATATTACATATGCCCTTTACATGTAAGTAAGTGTTGTAAGTACTTTTCTTGTTCGTCTACGCCACCAACAGCGAAAACTTCAAGAAAAAGTACCGAGTGACACCTTTGCGCACATAAAAAAATAACAAAAAATGTCAGCAGTTGGCAATGCAACGGCGCTGTTAATACGTTTGCTCACGTGTTTTAATTTTTTCTTTGAAAAATTCGGTCTTTGCGCACTTAAAATTTCTAATATCTTAAAAATTTATATTATATCCGTTAACTACTAAGAAGTAGAATGCAGGTTTTGAGTTTATTTTGACTTTTATATTTTTTTTTTTGTTCTCATATTTATCTTTTCACCGAAGTGAGTACTTGAAACTTGTTCTATACCATTCATATGCATTCTTTTAGTTATTGTATTTAAGCTGCTTCTACGCAAGCATTTAATTAATACAAATTCATAATTAAGCCTTTTGCTTTAATTACATTTTGAAAGTGGTGCTTAATTGTAGGATTTTTCACAATTAAATTGTCATTTAATGCCACTGATGTTTATTTTGAAATTCGTCAAAGTTTACTCGCCACATTCTTACTGCAGTTGGTAGACGAGACAAAAAAAAAAAACAAAAACAAAAAAAAAGAAAAAAATATACCATGTGCTTGCTCGCTGAACGCTTTCAATGTCAAAACAATTAATTGCAATTGGCAACTCTTCGCAAAAAGTTTCAACTGTTCAATCGATGTGTGGCGCATCGAGGTTTTGTGCTAAAAGGAGGTCGTCTTCAACCAAAAAAATACAGAAGTTAATTAAGAACTTTCGATTAGTCACTTATGAAAGAGTAAAGTTATTTCAAAACAATGAAAGTTTACTTAATTATTGAAATCATTAAATAAATATAAACTACTTGGCGTTTTTTTCGCACTCCTCAACTGTCATTTGTGCTTAAAACGAAAGATAGAAAATAATATATTTTTTTTGGTTGCTATGCCCTTTCATTTTCTCACCTCATTTACAATAAATTGCTGGCTTCATAAAAAAGTGAAAGCACTCCCGAAAAAATAAGATATAAAACAAAGTAATGGCACAGTCATAGTCATTAACAATAATTATTTGGCAAACGTAATTCATTGCCAAATCATGTCTAAAATTCAGTTCCACATTGTTTTTGCACTCATTTATTTTTTTAGTATTTTTTTCGTTTTTATCTAATATTTTATTTTTGTGCCAAGCCTTACTTGCTGTATTACGAACGTGACTAAAATTTTGTAGCTAAAATTTACATAAACATACTTACGTGCGAAAAGTTGCCGGACACTGCGTAGGCTGTGCCCACATTAATCAAAAAAAAAAAAAATGTACAAATTTTAATGATACCAAATTGTCAGGTTATAGAAAATATTTATCGGCCAAGCGACCATTAAAGACCTTTAACAAGGTCAAAATGTTTTTTTTAATTCTTTTTTAAATCAGCACTTTTTTATTCTGTTTTAATCGTTCTTTCATTTATTTATTTATACCCTTTCCATTTATGTCAATCACCACTTTGATTGCTCTTCAGCTTTTTCCAACCTTTATTGGCAACGCGTTAGTTTATGTGACACTTTTAGTTTGACATAAATTTTTCAATTCCCATTTTCGAGTGGCTAGCGCAGTTTTTGGGCATTATGTGAATTATGTAAAATTTGTTTTGCATAATTTATATACATATATACTTTAGAGATTATTTTTTAATATTTACGTTAATGCAGAGTTTATATTTATTGCAAGACAGCTGATCAGTTGTCAAAATCAGCTGTTGCGTATTTTCTTTTACTTCTTCTAAAATTAATTAGAAGCAGTAAAATAATGTTTAATGTAATTATTTAACTTGCATAGTCATAAAACATAAAGGTTAATTTATGCGTGGAAAATTATGCAATTATCGATATGTGATAACAATCGATTTTTAACTTTTCATTTCTTATTTCTTATATTTTTGATAAATATAATTTGTTAATTACTGTTCCTAATAATAGCGTGCACTCATTCATATTTTTTATTGATTAGACAGCAAATCATATATATGTATGCATATACAGAAGGGGTTATCCATTTAGTGTTTTCCAAAGTCTTTTACTAATTTCAAATTCTATAATAAAAAAGTAATTTAATGGAAAAACTAATTTTAAATGCTTTTTACGTGCATTTTATTTTCAAAACCACAAAATGTATAGCTCTGTATAATTTTTTCGCTCAAGATTCTTCCTCTTCATATAATATTCATATCGCAAATTTGCAAATTTATGACTGCTTTCTGCTTTGACTTTGACTTTTGATGGACGAAACTTTAGCAAGCTGATGTCATTTCCAGAAGAGCCATGAAAAGCAACAGTGAAAAGAAAGAAGAAGAAAGTGTCATACAATATACATATATACGATTTATATACTACATTTGCAAAATTAATTTGGCATAATAGCGTTGATTTGCCTCTTTAGCACACACACACCCACATTTACATATCCATACATACATATGTATTTGGAGAACCACAGAATTTTTTTATTTTCATTTTATTTGATGCTCTTTTTGCGTTAATTAATTAATTTACAAACTTTGATGTGAGTGGAATTTTGGCGTATTTTTTTGCCGAAAGAGTAGTTTTTAAAGTAAAAGTACTAGTAGAAAGTAAACTCTAAAGAAAGTGAATGTTTATTTGCCTGCAAGATCTACAAAGTCATTAAAGAGGCGGAAAAATAAAAATATACTTTTAATTTCCTTTACCTCATATTTACTTCACGTTAAATTATTTCATTTTATATTTATTTTATTTTATATTCATTTCACTTTAAACTAATGCCACATTCGCAAAAACCAGAGTCAAAATTCGCCCAGTCATGCATAAAATTCACCATTGCCGATTTATCGATAGTGCAACGTCACTTTGGATTGCTGGCATCACTAATTCAACTGTCACTAAACATGTAAATTAAATGTGAAAATTTTTACAAAATCAAAAACTATTAGAGTTTATGTGTGTGTACGTATGTACATATGTACTAGATGCTTAAGTGATTTTTGTTTTTGTACATTGAAGTGTTTGGTACTCACATAAATCCATAAGGTATGTTGATGGTAAGTAACCGGCCACCGCAGCAGCACTCGCCAGTGTCTGTTGTAATTCCAATGGCAGCTGCAGTAACGCCTGTGTTGTAGCGAATGCTGTAAATGCCGATGATGGTGACGAAGTTGGCGATGATGCAGAAGCTGTTGCTGCAACAATTGGTATTGTGGGCGATAGAATTGCCGTTGGCGTGGCAATTGGTGTTTGTGTAGATGTGGTATTTATAAAGGCCACTGAAGCGGCCAAATCACTTATGGGTGATGTTGGCGCGTCGTATGCTTGTGCTTCGGCTTCTGCTGCGACGGCGGCGGCTGCTGTAGCTGCTGCTATGGTTTTCAATGGTTTTGTTGTGGGCGTTACAACCGGCGCAGCAGTAGCGGTGGCGTACATGGTTGCATTTGCCGTTTCCATTTTAACACTTTTATTTGTTTGCTTTTTTAACAATATTAATAAATTATTATTTTTGCTTATTCAGAGTTTAATACTTGCTTGGCGTTTTCACGCTGGAAAAAAACCACATAAAAAATTAAGAAAAAATCCAAAAAAAAAAAAATATAAAAAAAAATTTTTAATAATTAAAAAAAAAATTATTTCAGTTAATTTTCACACGTGCATTGACAATAAAATTATGTGCTTATTAGCCAACCACTCGAGACGTGTAAAAAAAATTCTTTTTTAAAACCAATTTCTAATTTAATGCAAATCAAACACAACGTTCACATTTGGTGAGTGCAATCACACGTTAATTCCTCATTGCTGCTGCTGCTGCTGCATTTTTGAAATCAGTTGCTATAAGTCACGTGATCATTCGCCATACATGAATGTATGATTTGGGCGTGATTTAATGTGTAGGCGTTTTGGGAAATACTATTTGATAAAATGGTGCTACATCGCTTGGCTGGCAAATTACACGCTGACTGCTTTCCAACGTGTCTAGTACCAATTGCAAACATGTATTTTCTGCAGCAGGCTATTATAATTAGTCACATTCGTGCTATAACTTCACTGTTGGCTTAATATTTTTTTTATTTTTTATTTTTTATTTTTGCAAAATTCCATTATTGCCTGCAACTAATTGCTAGATTACTGCTTTTTCTCAATTTCTTTCTTATGCGCGCATCTACTTTTACCTGCAATAAGGATTTTCACTAGCTTTCGAAATATATAATTAATAAATGTTTCACATTTCATGCACTTTATTCACCAACTAATTTGGATTTTCTTCTTCTTTTTTTTCAGATACGAGTATGCCTTTCAACACGCGATAACAGTAATGCAACGCAAGTGATTCGTTAAGCAAAAAAAAAAAAATTATAATATCGACAGAAAAAAAATAAATGAAATAAAAAGAAAAAATTCACAAAATTAACACTGGAGCTGTGTATATTGTTTTAACGCTTTATATACATACATATGTACATTTATATATTAATATTTTTATTTTTCGCGTAGTACCGGCGTTGCATTTTTAAATTTCACAATTTTATATTTGCACATCTGCCCACGTAGCACTTACTTATATGCATATATATACATACATATGTATACATATATTACATATGTATACTATACACTGTAAATCACTAGGAAATCTCTTACAACAGCTGAATGTTGGTACAAGTTAAACGAATACTTTGCAAATTCATATTCAAATTTTCATTTGCGATTCGGCACTTTTTATAATTTATTCCTCAACTTGGTTCAGTGCGCAGGTGTGCAATTTATTTATTGCATGTTGAGCATTAAATGTTGAGTTCCTATAAAATAAACATGCAAATTTCAAATATCTAGGCTTATACATACATACATACTTAAGGCATAACCACAAATGCAAATAACGAATTACGCCACGTTTACAGCGGTCACTGCAAAGAAAAGAAGATTTTGCTATATGAAATGCTTGTTGCTAAGTGTATAATAATTTATATAAATAATTTATGTTGAAAATTCTAGTTTAGTCATAATTTCAATAACAACTTCTACTGCTCTTAGTATCAGCTGAGCTCTCCATTTTTTTTTTTTTTTTTAACTAATTATTGAGTCACAGAAAATTTGCACAAGATCTTGCAATTCTCTTGCTGTGCAAATTAAAAAAATTTTAATCAATCATTTTATGAAATTTTCCATCTCGTTCATATCCAGATCAAGGTCATTGATATGATTAATTTTTTTTGCCGCCTCAAAATTTTGCACAACATGATGTAGTAGATTGTATAATAATGAGTTTAAGACAATAGGCGCTTAAATATATTTTTTTTATTTTTTTTACACAATTTCTCTTGTTTTATTCGCATCATTAATATTATATGTTTAATAATCATAAATCATTTGTGAAATGTTCAATGTTATCATATTTAATTTACAATTGTAAACAGTCGCTTGAATTCAAAACAACAATCAAGCTTATACATGAATAATGAACTTAACGGCAAATATCCATTTTGCAATGGAATATTGCAAAAATGGAAAATGCAAAAAAACAAACTGAAAAAACTGAAAATAAAATTATAATAATAAAAATAAGTTGCTCGATTGCATACAAAATGAGTTGAAGGCGTAATGAAAGATGAAATAGAAAATGTTGTTAAAGAGCTTCATATTTCGCCAAATCTTGGATAAGACCCATTGGGTGAGACACAAGCCACCTCTAGGCCATTTGAGAGCACAAGAAAATCTAACTACATACATACAGCTGAATTCGCTACCACTTAAAACTAATAATGCTGTTCAAGTGGTTATTAACAATACTAAACATTCTATTGGAATACGGTAGGAAACCTCCAATTCCTTCAACTTAAAGTTGAAGAAAATAATACGAGCGGTCGCCGCTCCGAGTGTATTTCTGACATGAAAATCAAAAGCGTTTCATAAAAGACTATGAGCCGTTCGGAGCCCGCTCAGTATAAACTGTAGGACTCTCCATTTGTTGGAAAAAAATCAAGACACAAAACCACAAATTCGAGAAGGAGCTCAGCCGAAAATGCTCCATCCTCAATGTTCAAAGGTCAGGTTCTAGTAGTCGTTTTTCATTTTCCTATACCTATAAGACGTAATGACAATAAAGAAGATATGTTGTGAAAGGGAGGACGAGGACAACATCTGTTTAGACGGCGTTGGAAGTTTTCTAGAAACAGATTTATTGGAATGAAGAGCTGAGTATGAGATATAGGATGACATTGATATTCAGAAAATTAAGGAACTGGAAGTGGGCGCTTCTGTGCGATTGCTACCTACAGAGGAACGAATTACGAGTTTGCCCGTAAGGGAGAAACTTGCTAAGCCCACAACAAAACATTTATGGCCGTGATTGTTAGCTCACTGCTCTTCGGTACTATGTTGATTTAAGAGATTCACTGTTAATCGCCAGTCAGTATCCGCTTTAGAAAGGGGTCGATTTTGTTACAATTCAGTTGCGATACGAAAATGAAATTAGCGCACTTAATAATTGTTGGTTAATAATGAATTGAATAATCCAACAACAGATCATATGGCTGATGTTGGCGCAGTGGTAGAACACTCGCCTGTTAAGTCAGGATCCGTTGGTTCGATCCCTGCCATAAGAAGTCTAATGAGGAGATGTGGTGATCTCCGAAACAGCTGTCACTTCTATCATTTTTTCTTTGTTGTATAACAAATATTCAATTCATACAAACGACAAGGCCTCGTAGTTTACTTAATAAAAATTAAAATTCGGTTCATTAGATTTTTTCATTGACGAAACCAAAATTGTGCATGATTGATTGTTACAGTATCGGGATATTCATTTCAGCGAAGCAAAATTTTAGAAGATAACATTTGTTCTCTTTGCATGCGCCAAAACACAACGGAGTTAAGTGATCAACACTTCTCTCTTAATCTTTTTAGTAGAAAATATCATCTTTTCAGTGCCATCCAGATCACCAAAGTCGTCTACTACAAAAATAATGGATTAACTTTTTACTAGAGTAATAAGAAGAAGACAGAGGCGACCGCGGTAACCGAGTGGTTAGCATTGCGTACTGCCATTCGGAAGGCTCGTGTTCAAATCCTCGTGCGATCAGCATCCAAAAGTAATAGAAAATTAATTTAAATAAAAAATTAAGCGAAATTATCTAAAAATACTTAGAGCTCCATATATACAATACATACATATATGTATGTATCTGTGAGATTCTACTCAACTCAACCTATTTCTCATTAACATTTTAACTACTAATCAGCCATGTATGTAGCTTACGATGTTCTCCTAGCAGAAACTTACTGGAAATAAAAAAAAAATTGTGGAGTGAAATTTTCACTACTTTTTTGCTCCAAAAGAACTTTCATAACAGCATTTAAGTGGTTTAAAAGAATGCCGCATGCATACATACATACCTAATTAGTCACCCGAATTTAATCTACTAATTTATAATAGTCGTGATTATGAAAACTTGAGTGCCATTAGAAGCGTATCTCCACTATTAATAACGTAATATAAATTAACATATACATATGTATGTAGATATTATATATATATTATTTACTCAATTTCATTATAACACAATATTTCTTATGAAACTTGTAAAAAAATTAATTATTTATTTAAATCGCCTTAAAAAAACTGATTTTTTTTCACAAACTTTCCAGTTACACACTTAAGAGTATTTTTTTTTTTTAAATTTATTCCGCTCTTTCGTTATTCAGGTTTCATCTACCTGTCGATATTGTCATTTAAAAATATTCGCGTAAACAAAGTAAATTTTTCGAAAATTCGTCGTCGTCGTCGTCGTCATCTTTGTTGACGTCGTTATTATTATTATTATATATTGTATATTTCTACCGTCGCACAGTATTGTAGAATATAGACTAAAAATGAAGCGCTTGAATTTCGACACAGACTCAACGCCATAAATAAATTAATGTAAAAAAATAACAAAAAAAAAAAAAAAAAAACAAAAAAAAATCATTCGCTTAAGGAATTTTTAAGCTTTTTTTGCGTTGCTTTTGCCTTTTGTGCTTTTGTTAGCGATTCATTCAACACAATATAATACCAAATTCTCACTCTTGAAATGAAATATACATGTATGTATGTATGTACTGTGTACAGTAACTGCCTCCGGCTCAAACACGACTCTATTGCAAAGATCAGTGAAGATCAACGCTGACATGCATTGACTGCAAAAAATTTATATAAAAAACAAAAAAAAAAAAAAACAGCAGACACACTCAAGCAAAATATCAAACGTTGTATGTAGTGCTCATGTGTGGCCCGTCACATACATACATATACATTCATACTGTCAAACAGCATACTCGTTATGCTCGCGTGTAACGTTATTGTGGTCGGATTTACACTGCTAAGTAAAAGCACGTAGACGTGCTGTGAAATTTTCCTTGCCTCTCTGATTTTTTTTTTAATTTGTATTTGTATTTGTGCTTTGTGTGGGTGGCAATTGAATTTTTTGTGCGCTTTTTTTTTTTTTAATTTCGTAGCATTAAAGCGAGTCAAAGTTGTATAAAAAATGTATTTTTTTTTTGAAAACGACTTTGCACGGTTTCGCTTTCATTTTACACAAAGCTCGATTATGAAGAGTAATGAAAGGGCAATGATACCTATAAAAAAAAATAAAGAGAATTGAAGAAGCTTTCGGTTGAAAAATAGATAGTGTTGTAAGTTGCTTTTAGCGAAAAAAAGAAGGCAGTGAACTTCATTTCGTGGAGCATGGATGGGAATGGAAATTTAGTAAGCGTTTTCAGTGCAAATACTTGAAATAATAAGTTTTTAAAAATATATCCAGACAAGTAGAGTTAGGTGAGGTTACATTGGCTGTCTGCTAGGTCTCACATGGGCCGGTTGGACCTTTGTAAAGCCGCTCGAAGTTTAAATTTAATACAAGGTAGAGTAACTCTCTGAATGGCGAGGCACTTAAATGTCTCTTACGTGTTCTAGATAAAGCCGGCCAGGAGCAAAGGTTGATGTACCAGCCATTATCTCTTGTACATGTAACCCCACACCTTATTTATGCGGCACTGCTGGTAAGGCACACTCACTGTTGAAATCCTAGTAGCTATTCCGCCCGTCACATTTCAGTAGATATGCACTGGCTTCGCTACAGCTACCTTAACCATCTCCTTATTGCTTCGAAACACATTTCCTGGTGTAATACGATGTAAGATTATTATTATAACTGCCGCTTTCATATGGTCTGCTGGTTATCTCAACAGTTTTTCTTACCACGAAGACCTTCGCACCAGATAAACACTTCTCGTGCACCTCTATACTGTCGGTTTTCAGGAAGTTTTTTCGCGTCAACTCGCAAAAATGGATACTCTAGAGTTGTTATGGGCGTACAGAAGACGGCTGAGTTAGCCTCTCTCCACCTTTGGTCTTGCATTGTAGATTAGTTTCCTAACAGCTTGTGCAGAGCTGCGCATTTAACATTTAACACATTTCTCACTCGGGATGGTTCTCGGAAGATGAGTGGATCTTATAACATTCATCAAGCAGCATGAGTTGTTGTTGTAACCGTAAAAAAATTACTGAAACGGATTTTTGCGGAATGTTGTGGGTGTGACAGTTCATGGTCGGACGAAAAATTGCGTCTTTTCGACGTAAAGACCAGACTGTGGCGGAAAGTATTGCATTTTAGTCATCTCTTATGACATATATGGCCAATCGGGGGATAGAATATTGAAGCCTTAAGCCGCAGGGGTAGAGAAAAGGACTTTTTACAGTCCAACGGATTTTTTTTTTGGACATGTGGTTTTCACGAAGAGGCCAAGAATTTAGCTTTATTACAAAGATAAGGGGTAGCCTCTTTGTTTTAAAAACGATTTCGGATAAGTTAGAATAAACTCCAGCTGAGAGGCTCACTTATCGACTACTTAATACAACAATTGGGACCCT